CCCAAAAATAAAATAAACGTTGAAAAAAAAAAAAAAATTTTAAACGCTACAAGGTTCTAGGGGGCTTTGGGTGGCTCCGCTGGTTGAGCATCCTGAGTCTTCGTTTCGGCTCAGGTCACGAACTCATGGTCCGTGAGACTGAGCCCCGTGTCAGGCTCTGCTCAGACAGTGTGGGGTCTGCTTAGGATTCTCATTCTCTCTCATTCTCTCGGTCTCTCTCTCTCTCTCAAAATAAGTAAACATTAAAAAACAATAATAAAGGGTGCCTGGGTGGCTCAGTCGGTGAAGCGTCCAACTTTGGCTCAGGTCATGATCTCGCGGTTCCTGAGTTCGAGCCCCACGTCGGGCCCTGCGCTGGTGGCTCAGAGCCTGGAGCCTGCTTTGGATCCTGTGTCTCCCTCTCTGTCTGCCCCTCCCCTGCTCGTGCTCTGTGTCTCTCTCAAAAATAAAAACAAAAGTTAAAAAATATATAATAATAATAACAAAGCCAAATAAAGCGCCGCAAGGTTCTCAAATTCAGTGGGGAAGCGGAGCGAGGACCGGCATCTTACCGCGTCAAAGGTGGTGACCGCACCCGCAGTGCTCGGGACCCCCCGACCCTAATTACTGCAGTCAGCGTGGCCCTGGGCTCCCCGAGCTCCACGTGGCAGGGACCAGCGGAGAGCCACGTAAGCAGAAGGCGCGCGATCCTCTGACACAGCCGCGCCGCGCCCCGGGCCCCCCTCCGGGCTCCTCCTCTATCCCACGCTGGCACGCACTTACCTCTGAGGGGGGATATACGGGGCGCACACGGGCGGCAGGACCGCACAGGGCTCACTCAGCGTCTTCTTCGCCTTTTTGGCTTTCTTCCTGACCTTGGACGTGGACCTGACCGTCTTGACGGAGCTCTCTTTTCGACAGACACCGTTTTTCATTTCCACCTCCCCGTAAATGTTCAGAGGCCGCCGCGTACAGCCCGGGGGCGTGTGGGCGTCACAGTAAGCGGTCTTCCTGACAGAGAAGGTCGCGGCGCCGCCCGCGAGTTCCTTCACGGGCTCCATCTTCATGTAGAGGCCGGCCCTCTGGGCGCACGTCACGTGGAACGCCGTGTAGCAGTTTGCCTTGTGGCACTGGATGCAGGCGCCCACGCCCTTCTGCTTGCAGAGGTAGCACGTCAGTTTCCACCGGGCCGGGGGGATGTTCCTCACGCCGTCGATGGGCTCGATGAACACCGTGTTGGCGAAGCCGACCTCCGGGATCCACAGGGCGCACACCACGTGGCCCCAGCGGTCGTCGTCCGTCTTTTTGAAGGCACCTCCCTTGTTCGGGCAGAGCACGCAGTCGGCGGGCCGGGCCCGGGACTGCAGGCAGTGTCGGCAGAGCCACTGGCCCTCGGGGATGTAGGGCACCCCGTAGCACTCCTGGTGCACGGCCAGGTTGCACATGTCGCAGAAGAGGATCACGTTGCTGTTCTGGCACTCGCCGTCCATGCAGATGCAGCACACGGCGTCTTCGTCGATCAGGGACTGCTGCTCCCCCTGCTTCTGGTTCTCGCAGTAGGACTCCTTCTCGAAGCGGTCCATCAAGAACTCGAACACGCTCTGCGACACGGCCGACACGCAGTCGCCCTTGCGCTTCTCGTTGACGATCTCCAGCCAGGCGTAATCCTCCTCGTCCATGTCGTACTCCACCTCGTTGTCCAGCTCCTCGGCCGACTTCTCGATGAACTTGTAGTACACCGGGGGCCTCCTGGGGGCGGACGGCGGGCTGTACTCCACGATCCGCACCTTGGGCTCAGGAAGCGCGCTGGCCGAAGCCAGCGTGCCGTGGGCACTGGGGAGGGCTTCGTTTTTCTTTTTGACTCGGTTGTTTTTGTGGCGCTTAGTTCTTAAGCACACCGGTGGCCTCTCGCTATTTTCTTTATTGCTGTTGCATTCGCTCATCTCTTGAGCCGTGAGGTCATCTTCCAGTATGATCTCCAGGGGATCAAAAATACTGATCCGATGGAGGCGCCCCTCGATCTCTATCTCAACCATCCTCTGGGCCTGAGCGTAGGTCAGGGTCTCTCGCGTGGGGGAGTGCTTAGTACTGCACGGGGAGGAAGGGTGTCTCGCTGCAGCACCGCGATGACATCGTCCTTTCCTCCTCATTTGGTACTGACTCCCTAAAACAGAGGAAAAGGCCAAGTTAGCTCCGTGCAGAAGACACGGGACGATAAAACCACCAGACGCGCCAGGGGCACAGCTAACGGACCAACCCAAGCTAAATCAAAACGAAACTCCCAGCTAACACCTCTCTGCGGAGTCCCAGATCACTCGTCCCCGGGACTCACGATCGTGTCCAACAACCTTCCCTACCGGTCCCTCCCGGACCAGAGGAGAGGACAAGGAGTGAGGAGGGGCCTCTGAGAGGGACAAGAGCCTCTGGGCCGCCCTGTGATTCCCACAGCTCGCCGAGCACCTTCCTGGACCCAGCTGACAGGTCACCACGATGACCGCAACATCCCTCACAAGCAGGGAGCCCCAGCCCTGAGCCCAGAGAAGCCCACACACAGGGCTGGACCCCAGCAGGCGCCAAAGTCAGGACAGCAAGGCAAGCGTGCTCGGCGGCTCCTTCACCCCTGACCAACACTCCCCTTCGCAGGGTCTTCCCCTGCAGCCCAGTGCAACACCCCTGCTGGGTGCCGGGAGCCTAGGCGGTGAGAGCACAGAGCACAGCCGTCCGTCTTCTCCACGACGCGCCCTCCACACCCACGTGGAGATACAGGGCGGCTCGAGCGCACCGGGACCAGAGAGAGGAGCCCCGTACTGGTCTGGGGGGCCGTCCTCACCCGGGGAGGCCCCCGCCCAGCTTCCAGAGTGACCACCACAGAAACCCCCGCAGCCCAGCCAGCCTGCCCCACCCCCACAAGGCCACTCCTCAGCTGCCGCCCCGACGGTGGCACCGGGCCGTGCCCTCCTCGTCCTCCGGCACACCCAGACGAGACGTGCCATATACCACAGGGGGCATCTCTGCCCTCACGCCACACTGAGGGCCGCCCCTGAGAACCACACGCTGCCCGGGGAACCCCCACCCCGGGGTGGCCAGCAGGGGCTCAGGTGCCTGAAATCTTGGCCACGGAGCTCTAGGAGAACTTGCTCTTCTCAGAGCTCCACCCTCCGACTCAGTAACCGAGTCTATTTTCAGTCTCCCTCACGTGAAGACTCCAGGGTCTGGACCACCACCCGCCAAGCCAAGCCAACTGTCACCCTGGGAAATGATGGCGAGGACCGAGGACTCCTCCCTCCAAACAACTACACTGTACTGACAGGAAGCAAAATGACTTTAAGCGACTGGCTTACAAATGAACATTCCACAGTGGAGCCCCAGGCCCACTGCTACACACGCCAAGACTGGGAAAGCGGGCAAGGGGGCGCCCCCAGGACCTGACTGCCTCAAGGCAGCCTAGCTGATCTTCCGGAAAAGTCCTCAAGGAGCACTTGGTAAGCCCCAAAAGGCAATCCCAGCAAACCCTAAATGCGCTTTTTAAGACAGACTCTTCTGATCTTTGTCAAATACAAACCCACGTTTTACGTTGAAATTTAACAAGAATTCCCTGCAAGGACAAGCCCGGAAAACACTCTGGCCGGCCAAAACCCAACTCACCTGCACGGCAGGGGTCTCCAGGCGCCCACTCAACCCCGGGCCCCCCAGAAATGGGCCACAAAGTCACCGACCAGCCAGTCCTGCACCAGCAGTGCCCTCGGAAGGGGGCTGGGTGCAGCCCCCGGGATGTCAGCACCACAGCCTACATGGAGGGGACCCTAATGCCCCCGGGGACGGACGACTTTGCACGTCATTACTGAGATAGGGTCATGGGGTCCAAGTGACAACCGGCTACTCACCGGATTAAAGGCAAACTCGTAATTTTCTCCTCGCCGCCAAAGTACCAGGTAGCTCTAAGTGTAACCAGCCTCCACAACCCACGCTCTCCCGATGGGCCCCTCAACCACTCTGCACACGAACTTCACCTAACAACGGTCACGGCAGCTCCAGCGTCTGAAGATGGAACCGTGACGGGGAAGGAAGGCAGTCAGTGGCACAGAGTGACCGACTGCTCACGGCTCCTGGCTTCCCGACACCCTCTGTCACTGCCATGTGGCTCCAAGCACACTTGGCGCTTCTGCAGAGGGACAAGCAGTCCCACCAGGATGTGGTCAGCGAGGACAAGAAGCCTTTCCAGCCGTAATTCAGTGAAATACACCCAGAAAAGCCGCGTGGGCCACCAGAGAGGAGGCCTGCACGCTAAGGAGCAGCAAACGTCTTCAAATCAGTTCATTTCCTGCCTGGCTGGGAACAAGTCACTTCAACGGTCCCGGCCCTGCTCCCGCTAAAGCAGGAACAGGATCATAGCCGGCTCCCGCTGGTGTGACCACTGCCCCACTTCCCACGAGGTGCTCGGGGCAGTGCCTGGCGGAGCAGGTAAGGGCATATACCACCCTAATTCCCCAAGCCCACCCAGGCAGGGGTGAAACTTCGGGGTGACGAAAACGTTCGGGATGGGCGTGGCAGTTTCCTGGGCGGACGTAGTTGTGTCAAAACTCAAGTGTGCCCTAACAGGGGCTGTGTCTTCTCCGAATCACACCTCGGTGAGCTCACTTCTCCTACAACGAGGGTCCAAGGGAGCCGAGCAGGGCTCAGTTCCCCACAGTCAGAGGGACGAAGGGACGACGGACTGTCCCTGCAGCCGGGTCCGGGGCCACCCACCTCCCAACGGCCAGACCCGCGCGGCTTCCCCGGCTTCTCTGCTGGGAAACGTTTAAAGTCCGGCCCTGTTACAGGGAGTTTCCTGTCTTGGCAAAACAAACCGACTGTATCTGTTACATAATGCGACCCGCTCGGGCACAATGACTCCCGGCCGCGTTAAAACGCCGACTCTGGGGCAGAGGGGCCGCCGCGCCCGACCCACGGCCCACACGCGGGGCCGGCCGCCGGGTCCCGATCTGCCGCCCGCCATCGCGGCGGCCGGCACAGGGCGGCCTCCCGGACACCGGGGCCCCGGCACCCCGGCCCCAACCGCCCGGCCTCCCCGGCACCCCGGC